TTGATACTAGCATAATATTCACTAGTGAATTGCTTATTTTTATTATTAGTTTTAGCTTATTGAAATGTCTCTCCCCTTCAGCAACAGTAACAGGCAACATGCAAAATATACATAAAACAACTCAGACTTCTCAAAAAATGCTATGTTGTTGCATTTTGTTCAAGCTGCAGTAAACAACCAATATGAACCAGGACAGTCTTAGCGCTGTCCGCATTCACTCAATAAAAAATTTTAAAGATTTTTTTTTATTTTTGCGAGTAATAAATAAATCGTTCTTGTTGTGTGATTGTCAAAAAAAAAAAGTTCGAGAAACAGGAAAAATCCACATAGACTCGCTGGAATGATGCTAACTAGCTCGTCATTGAACACAGTGTTGCTCACCTTTTGCACAGGGGTTAAAGGTTATAAGGTATCGGAGCTAGACCTGATGCTGACTGACTCATCTGCGGTTAAGTCTTTTAAAAAGTACAGAGACAAGTTAAATATATAAATATGTTGTTAAATTATTTCCCTAATTCATTAAATGCTAGTGAAATGGAGGCTAACAGTAGTCTGTAGCTAAGCTAACTATGATAAATGGTTGATAATCTCACACAATCTACCCAGTTCTACTGGAGAAAAACTGGGCTATAAATAAGCTCTCTTGCCTTTTTTTTATCTCTCTAATTTCGAAAACCTGACTTTATTATTTTTCTTGGCAGCAATGTAACTGATACAGTCGTTCTGGTTTTCCACTGACAGCTGCCGAACACCGTCACCGTCAAGCGCGCTAAGCAGGAACGAACCATTTCATGCAGATCCACAAAGGTGTTCAGGACAAATATAGATGTGTGCTTTTTGGTGTGGGAATGGCATGTTTAATTTTTACTGCTAACACAATTTTTTTTATATCTCTTTGTAGGAGGGCCTCGCTGCTGTTACTAACTGATAACTATATACTGTTAACTGTAAGGCTTTGAAAGAAGCCATGAAATCAACTTAAAATTTTTTGCTTAATATCTTCTGTTTTATATTCAAGCAACACAGCACAGAGTACTGAGACTGATTCAGTAAAACCACATACTATTTGCCGCATTTTATGAAACATTAAAACACGTGAAACTCTACACTTATTACAATATATTCAGTCAGTGAAGTTCTACATTTTATGTGTTATATGCATGCAAATATCTTTAATGTTAGCATTGCTAAAACCGATATCCTCTCTAATAAACATGAAACCCCTGCTACGCAAGGACGTCTCATTTCTATTTTGCACACTATCAAGAAGACGTTCATGTGACAGATAAATCACAGCACAGCCTTTATCAAGTGGCTGAACATTGCAAGGCTGATTTGACAGGCCATAACTGATGCTATACAGCAAACAATCTCACTGATAACACATTTGTGGTAATCTAACATTAGTGTCTATATGTGCAACAGGTGTGGCAATTGCCGTCAGCTAAATAAATACCAACGATAGACACCACACCCTGTGCACAAGGTGCAAGGCACTCAGTTGATTCAACTGACTGCCCTTTACCCTATGCACCACTGGTTATCTCATTCCTAATGATTCAGGTATATTTTTGGAGAAAAAAAAAGAGAAATGATGGGCTACAATATGATGCTTACAAAGTGAAGATTTCTACCTCAAATGTCACATGCATCTTCAGATAAAGTAAGAATCTGTATGCATTGCAATTTAATTGGCATATTTCAATATTTATTGAATAAATGTAATGTGGAATATTATTAATATAGTAAATATTGATAGCTTCAACTTAGATATTTTTTTGCAAACAAAAAAAAAATAAATATATATATGTATATATATATATATATAAAAATTTCAAAGAAAGGTGAGTTCCAGTAATTATTGGTGAATCAGGGTTTTAAAAGCGTTCAACCTCTGGTCTCAGCATGCCTGCCAGACTGCTTTTCATGGAACAGAATGAGCACAAATTTGATTGTGAATCTTTACAAGGATGGTCAAAGATAAGAGATTATGGCTTGAAAATCAGTTAAAACACAACTGTCTTGAAAATTTTTATAGTCTCAGATGGGACACAGCATGTTTGGCATGCAACTGATAAAGATCAGAGTGAATGCATGATTGTAACGGTTTATCACAGAGTTGCAAGAGTGATGATACGCAGCTGGATGGGGGTAGAAGGTGTTGAGGAGATTGCACGTGCAGACAACAACATGAATTCCTGTGGATGAACCAAAACGCTGGCAGTTTCCATAGCAGGAGAGGAATATTTCAGTATGATGACAATCTAAGGCACACGGCAGAAGAAATGGTTGAGCATGTCACCGACATAGCATGTGACAAAGGATTTTTGTGGGTCTGGATAAAGGAGTAACATATTGTTATGTTCAGAACTTTATGGTTAAAGACAAAAAAAATCTTAATGATGCAGGTATCATAAACAGGAAAAACACAATAAAAGTAACACTTGTTTGAATGTGCACATTTCATGCAAATTAGACTGTTGGAGTAAGAAAAAAAGATGTTCTAACACTTGGCATTAACCTTTACCCAAAAGTAACCCAACTCGCCAACAGAGACCAAATGAAAATGATCTCTGATGATTTATGAATGAATTTGTCATCAGACAAAAAGAAAAACAAACACTGAAGAAAGAAAAATGGAATCTTATAGACATAAATTTGAAACTGCATTTCATGCATTATTTTAATAGTTCAAGTTCTGTGTTTTAATTGATTCAGAACCAAAACAGCACTTCTTGACCAATTTAATAGTTCTTGTTTCATAATTTTTGGTCACGTTCACAGTATCAGCAAGACTTCAGGTTGCAATGCCTCCTGGTCCTCCTCGTGTCTAAGTAACAAAGATAATCTAAAACCACACCTTCTTCTTTTTCTTTTAAAGAATCCTGTGCATATAGTTAACTTTCAAATCAGCCAGAAAATCTTATACTTACATATTTTTTAGGATGATAAATTGAATAACTCCTAATGTTGTACCATTTATCAAAGAAATTGAATAAGGAAATGTCATGATAAAATGATTACATATTTTCCAGATGTGCATGGAAAGCGATTTGAATTTTCAAAAATACACACAGGGAAAACAAAGTACCACATCTAGGCAACCTTTAACCCGACTCCGAGGAGCTGTTCACTTTTTTTGTTTACTTTTAAGGTAATGAAACCTTCAGTGCTGTGCTCTTCTATGCACTGTGGGTTAAACAGACAACAAGGTAAAAGGTAATCCTAAAAACAACAATGTGTAACCCACTGGAGGCAGGAGTCATTAGCCTCTGCATTCTTGGCACTAGTTAACCCTTTGTGGACTTGTTTTTGAGGCATTTCTGCTAGAAACACCTTTGTACACATTTTACTCGTCAGCAATACTTACCATATTTTACATGTGCTGCAGCGTTAATTAATTTCTTGGTATTTAATTATTTTCTAAACATTCCCTGGGATGTGGCACATACAGAACACTGACTTATCCAAGCATACTTAATTTAATCTCCACTGAACTCTGTGCATCATGAAGCTCCTTTTGTAAGGTCTCCACCCAGTCAATTATCCATCACATCAGATTAGTGAAGAAAAGCACTGGTGTTAAAGCACAGTGTGTGTACCTGCAAGTACACGGAGTTCTCCACTTTGTGAAACCATATACTTATGATCCATTAAAAGGAGCCAAGAATAGACAAACAGTGTAGTGTATTTAATTGCATGAGTTGCATTGTATTATCTGGTAGAGAACTGATTGGGATTTTACACAGTGTACATTTGAGAAAACTAGAACTTTAGCGTAATGTACTCCCACAGGCCACTTTAAGAGGTACACCTGTACAATTTTACTGTGGCATGGCTGTTGGTGCCAGGTGGGCTGGTCTGACTGTATAAGAAACTGCTGATCTTCTGGGTTTTTCAAGCACAACCATCTCTCAGATTTACAGAGATTTCCAAAAGAGGAGTACTTGTGTAGACAATTACTGATCTCTGATGTTAAGAGATAGGGTGGGCTCAAATAATAGTTCAAATATCCAAACACCAACTCTCTATTAACAATATGTTAAATCTTTAAACATAGAGTCTATAGCAACATAGGCATTGGCTACTGTTTTTCTATTAGTGTTTTTTTGTGCGTTTTTTTTTTTTGCTATAAACTCCCAGAGGAGAGTTTGTAGTGATGGAGGGAAAACGAAGCCGAGGCGATTAGTGAGCTGCGCTAAAGAAAAATCTTTTTTGTTTTGTTTTTTGCATAAAGCAGTACAATTGTGCATAGCATTTGTATTTATGTATTTTTTGTTTTTCCTCTCCTGACATACGTTATTGTCTACCAGCAGTAGACAATAACATTATACTTGTCTTTATTGTCTACCAGAAGTAGACAGTAGCATATTGGAAAGACAAGTATGAGCTGACACAGAAGTCGATTTTTCTAGCTGCTCCACAATACGACAAGATATCATCCCATTCACAAAAGGCAGAAATGTGTTGAAAAGTCAATCAGCCACAGAAATAAGACAAAAAGGTTCATGAAGGCTGAACAAGACCCAAAAGGACCCAAGTTTATTTTGCCACCACTGTTAGAAAAATACAGTCAGAAGTGGCCATCAAGGTCATCAGGTGTCTGTAGTTTATTTAAAGGACTTACATCTTAAGAGCAAATTCTGCATATAAACCTACAAAACTGATTGAATATAGAAAATAAATGCTTTTTTTTCATTAAGTACTTAGAGAAAATCAATGTGTTAATGACTTGACAAATAACCTTAATCGTCAAAGAAACCGCAATAATAAAGCATAAACTTTATCAAAAGCATAGGCAAAGTCGTTACGTTTTAGATTTCCACAGATTCAAAAATTAGTGAATCACTAAAACTCCAAAATCTATTTATGATTCGGATGTGAATCGAGTGTCTCCCTGAGAGTACTAGTACCAGTTCTGAAACTCAAGCGATCCGTGCCCTTCTTTACATGCACAGACACCCGTAAGCAGTCCTAATGGCCCTGCAGAGATCTTTTACCTGACTGTGTTGAAACTTGCGGTCGGGGAGTGTGCTCTGGTTGGCAGTCTGACGCTGCAGCGCAGGTTTCCGAGCTGCGCAGGCCAGGGGTCCCAGTGCTGCAGGTTGTCCGGTAGGGTGCCTGTCGAGCTACACAGCTCGCTGTTGATGTCAGGAGAGGAGAAACTGGGCAGGGGAGGGGGGGAAACGTGAGGAATGGCTGAAAACTGACGGCGCTCTCCTGCAAGGAAACAAACCAGGACAAAAAATACCGTCTTGTGCGTTTCCAGCTCGTGTCGGCTCAGGCGTTTATCGACGCATTACCACGTATTGCGCATAGTTATGTTCGCTATTTAATGGGACAGCGAAAACGCAAAAAAAAAAAAAAAAAAAAAAAAAAAAAAAACCTCCCCCGCCCCCCCCCGCAAGGTAGGCTGCCGCTTCTGTCGCCAACAGAGCTACTTTATGGACTAATACGACATAAACAGGGCTGGGAAATGTTTCACAGCAAGGTAACGAGCTCGTCCTCGATGGCCGTGTGAGGCTTTTAAGCTAGCTATGCGCTCATGTTCGCGTTTTTGGTCGGACTTGTGAGCATGCGTTTGTTGTGGGGACGTTGAGATCGGGTTTTAAAACAGCGACGGTTGGGCTTCATCCCTCCTTCATGCCTCAACCGTCCCGACCACATGAGAAGTCGACGTCCGGGGTAGAATAAACCGCAAACAAAGGCCCCCTTCTTCTTCCTCACCTCTTCCACCTGAACCGACGGGGAATCGGGGGGGAAAAAACCCCCAAACAAAAACATGCGTGTGGATTTGCTTTGGATATGTTTGTGGTGCTTCGTTCGTCCAAGCGCCTCCGGTCAAGGGCAGTCGACGGCCGTGTGTTCGCCCTCATGCAGCTGCGATGAAGATGGGGGAGCGGACTGCTCGGGCAGAGGACTGACCACCGTCCCGACTGAGCTCAGCACGTTCACCTACTACCTGTAAGTACCGACTAGGGTCCATCCCGAGAACACCAGCACCGAAACCACGGGGTTTGACTTCTCATCTGGAGTTTTTGTTCCGACAGGACAAGTTAAACATGGTATTAAAGATCACTAACTTTTTTTTCTTCTTTCTGCTGTTGCTGTAAGTCAAGCAAAGTATTGTATTTTATATTTCTGCAATGCAATATGATTCACAGAGCAGCAGAATTGGGCATGATGCAAGAGGCTATTGTTTTGAGCAGAGCTGCACCAATCAGGCTTTTTACTGGCCAATAATTTATATCTGGTTGTCTGTCTGGTCTGACCCATTTTGACTTTGGTAAATTGCAATTACACACGAGCCAGATTGGACAGAGTTAAAAATTAACCAATTTTCAATTGATTGGTTTATTACTGGAACATTGTAACCCCAGCCCACTCAATCCAATCAATCTAAATAATTGGTCTGTGCAGGCATCAAGTAACAGCATGTACTTTTTGAGTTCAATAAAAAAAAAAAAAAAAAAAAATCTTGAAGTTGCAGGACATGCTTTGATGAGTAAAAGAAAAATGGTCTTGCAATTCCTTCATTTTCTGCTGGATTTAAAGTTACTGGCTCCACTAACGAAGCTGCTTTATTTTTTTTCCCTTGCAGAAAATATCTATATGGGTTATTTATCAGGCCAAATCTCAAATGGTACTGAATATTGGTGCTGGCCATTAAAAGCTTGATTGATTCATATTATACAAATATGTTTGTTTAAAAATGGTTTTAGTTTGACTGTTAAATTTAAGAAACAGTCACCACGAAATGTGAAAATGAGCTTCGTATCCTTTGATAAAGCTACCATTGATCTAATAAAACTGATTACAAGATTGACCTACATCTGACTTTAATAATCTGCTTCTTGTTAATGATTTTACAGTCCAAAAGAGTACCACTGTTTAAGAATGAATTGATTGTAATTGATAATTGCATTGAATTCAATCAGTGGCTATTGGATTAGTTCATCTCTAGTTTTGAAAAAGTAATGCAGGAAGCTTTTCACACACATTTATTGTACAAGATGCTTTAAAATGAGGGTGTGAAACGTGAGCTTTTTCTTCTTCCCTATTCAGTAGTCGAGTAGAATTGATTTTATACCTTGTTGCTTGAAGATTTTCGATCTTGTCAATTTCAACACATTTTTAATCTCTTTTTTTCTTTCCACTCTGTTTAAGATTTTTTCTTTTAAACCGATAAGTAGGAAAGGGCAATATACTACATGCTAGGAACTTAAAGCAATCTTTGTATTGCTCAGCAACACAATTACATTACTCAGTGTAATTTAGTTGTCAAAATCAAGCTGATTCAAGTAACGCATTATAAATCCCACCATGACAACATCAGCATTAACATCTAGATTTCAGCTTATTAGCTGTCTCAGCATGTTATATTACAAACTAAACTACTCAGTCAGTGCAGTTTGTCAATAAATATATTTTAACGGGTTGCCTTGGAAAATATATTAATGCCCACTAAATGGAAGATTTTAATTTAACACAAAAACAAACAACAAAATGAAATGATTTGGTAATTAGTTCTTGGTAAAAAAGACACCTAGTCAATGTTATGTGAGCTATGTTGGCAACAGCTAAGGTCACATAGATAAATCTGTGTATGTTTTGTTGGGTGTTTGGACTTGTTCCAAGTTAATTTATGTTTATGTTTTAGACACTTAAAACAGAGGAGGCAACTTGAGGTGGAGGAATGACATTCCTCGGCAAAGTTTGAGTGTTGCAGCCACCTTAAAACAAGTGACTAAGTTTCATAGAAACTAAAGCAAATGGATCCCAGGTAGGTTAGGTGTTTATAGAGTGTTGCTGATTCAGTTGATGATTGCCCTGTAGAGTAACAGTTTGTTTCACAATCTCTAGGTTAATCACAAACCAACCGCTCCTCCATGAGCTTACGCAAAAGACAAATAAAAGAAGTTATGACTTTAGATCGGCGACTGTTTATCTCAGTGTGTGACTTGGTTACGGCAGTAGCAAATATTTTAAATACAGAAAATACATTACATTTCAAGTCTATTGGTGCAGGACTGAGTGGATGAACACTATTGCGTGTCACTTGGAAGTCAACAACAGACATGAAAATGCGTCACACAAGGCCAACGAATAGGACAAAATGCTGAGCAATAGCATTGTTATCATAGATTGGTTGGTCTTTTTAGAGCCTAAAAATGAACCGTACTCTATATTACTATGATGTCTCAATTACAACAAAAAGTAATAAACTCACAAGATGCACATTTTTATCTCTTTTTTTAAATGTTTTATGCTACATTTTCTTTTAAAAAGACATGTTTTCAACTTTTTGTTTTCTTTTGACTTTCGATACTTAATTCTGAGATCCTAATACACTTTGTCGGGTTTAAATACGGAATTTCTTAATAGGTTCACCTTTGCGTTTTAAAGTATGCAAAAGGTTGTTTGTCCCTCTCTCTGTCTTCTGCTCATTTGTTCTCCTGGTCTGGTGAACTTTAGTTGTCCTCTCCCTCTCCCTCGGCCTTTTGTGTGTAGAGCGGTGGGGTTAGGGATCATGATGGATTAGTGTGACATATTGCAGCTGCAAATGCTCCCTCTTTCTGGGCTAATGCACCCGCAGCGATATGCTGATGTCTTAAAGAAAGACCTCACGTAGAAGTGCTCTGTTTTTACAGTACTTGGAATTTGTTGAATGCTTTTCAAATCAATGCCTTCTACAAAGTTGTGACACTGTAAAGGGGAAAATCTGCTAGAAAATTAAGCCAATTTGTTTAACTGGATTGGTTGTGACTTCAATAAAAAAGCTTCCTAAATTGAGACCGTAGTATCCAGTATGCATGAAACTCATTCAGTCACAAGATTTTGTAATAGATTATTTGGCTGTAAATCCCTTCTTGATTTGTAGGAAAAACCTGCTCATGGAAGACCACACATTTCTGCAATAAATCTTTTGACAGTGTTGGCATAGAATCTTACCTGCAGCTCACTTTGGGACTGAGGTTTGGCTTAAGTAGTGGCAACAGCCCTGTCACAGAAAAGCAGATGAGGGAGAAAAAAAACAGAGCTGCTTAGCCAGTAATAAAGCAAACAATCTATTTGAAAGTATGTAGCTTACCATTTTCTAACTCTTGGCAAATGGATGTTGTTTATATAATGATTGCACAAATTCTTGTCCAGTTTAAGATATAAGGTTTTGCTGTCCTTTACATCTCAGTTTTGGTTGGGTTTTCCATTGAATTGTAAGACGTGGGGAAAAACAAGGGGTGGTGTTGGCGGTCTTGCACTCAACTGGTGGAACTAGCTGGCTTCAACATTGGTGCCCTCAGTCCATTTCATCTGAATGATACTTTTGTTCTTGGTCAGTAGAGGTGAAAGGAGCCAGTCAGTAGTTCCTGCTGCAAAGCAGCGTGAATTGAGGAATATTAACCTTCCTTACTCCTTTTGCCCTGAGTACTCTATTGCGCTCTTTTAAAACATTCATTTCCATTCTCTTAAAAGAAATGGCTGCATTTCTCTTTTAGGTTTTCTGGTGGGTAAATATATATATTCTTATTTGAATCTGTTTCTATTACTGATCTGCTTGCCCATTTTAAGACTTATTTTCTTATTTTCGCTTATATCAAGTACAATTTAGATGCTCCTTATAAATGTATATATTTATGTATGTACTGTCTGAATAAACATGAGAAATTATAAAAATAGGCTTGCACTTCATTTTACTTGATCTACTTTAAAGCCAACGCTGGTTCAACAACAGTTTTAAATACATCCGTTCTATTAAATTATGAAATTAAAAACTAAAAATCTATTTTTGAGTGTAAATTGTTTTGCTTTTGTAATTATTTTGCTGTGCTTTACTATTTTTCTAAAGCTATGCAAAGGGTTCTACAACCTCAAGGCTAGAGAAACAAAGAGGAACGTAGCAGCTGTAAAGTTACATACAGGAAGGCAGAACATTATATAAATGTTAATATAGTGATGCATGATATGGGCAAGAAAGAATTGTTACATTATTTTAGTTAAATATTGTTATTATTACAATAATTTTTCTTGACATGAGCAAAAAAACCCCCTAATTAACAATATTTTAGTTAATTAGACCCATGTAATATGTTAAATGAAGGTATTCTTTTAAGTACTGTGCTTAAAGGTAAAGCTTAATGTCCTTTACTTGTAGTATGTTTCTTGTATCATGGAGTACTTGATAGTAAATTCTTATCGAAATTTCTTTAACTCGCATACTAGAGTTGTGAGCTCCTTCAAACGACGTTTTTAGTTTGTTTCATAATGGATTTAGCTGTAACAGTCAGCATCCCACCATGCTAAATTTCTGTGGTCTTAAACACAAGATTGTTTCTAATTATGAGCAATTGATGTATATGCCATATCTGATTTTAAATTGTGTTTTGCCAACATTGAACTGGAAAATTTTCACTGCTTTCCACTTTCTTGTATTGAAGAAGTCTTTTCTTAATGCTGCTAGCAGACACGTTTAAATTTTGATTATTCAAAGTGATCATAACCCAAGTAATATGCAGATCGAATGTTTATTACATTTTATGTCATAACATGTATTCTTTGAAACCAAAGAATTAATAAAAAGAAGACATAAAAAAAATAGTATTCTGCCACAAATATATTTGAGTGCCATAATAACCATTATACTGTGTGGTCAGTGTTTTCTCAACAAGGTTAGAAAATTAAGACAGTGTGTGTTTTTTATTTCTTTCTCCACTTTAAAGGCTTTATCATTATGCAACACTTTATCAAACAACATGGAAGAATTTTATTTCAGAAGGATCACACCCTTTGCGCTCAGGTAGAGTTGACATAAAACAGGATAAACAAGTAGTTTCATTGCAATAAAACAAAGTAATGTTTTTTAAAAGAATGGGGATGTAATGAGACTTTGACATCACATTGATGGTATTGGGCAGTGGCCTTGAACTCTGGTCCTCGGGAAAGAGTGCTCTGCATGTCTTAAAGTTATTTTTCTGCTTCAATCACCTGATTTAGATGAGTGGGTCATGACCAGGCCAATTCAGAATCAAATGACAAACGAAGACAGATTCAACAATTGGAATATCTGTGTATTGGAGTTGCAGTTTATACACGTTTTCTTTTGCTTCATCTAGCCTCACTTCTTTAATTATCTACAGCACATAACAAGGAGTGACTTTGCCTTCAGAAAAACCAAGGCTGAATTTTACCATACCACTACATCCAGGCTTACCTTTACCCTACCTTCTTCAGCACTTTAGTTAAGGTAGATTTCTTGTACAACAAATGCGTTCTTCAGTATGTTCCTATGTGACATATAAACAGTTATCAAGCCAGCACTAGACGTCACCATTCATTGGTTGTTGTATTTGTTGTAATGACAAAAAAGTACAAGTAAGTACAACATTGTTTTTTTGTTTGTTTTAATTGTTCTCTGCTTGTTAAAATTTACATATGTTAGTCAAATCATTATTGTGACAATAACATAGTTTTAAGTCTGAAATCATTTGGTATTTGTTATGTTAATAATTAACAATGATGCCAAAACATTACTGTAAAGAACTCAAAGTACAGAATTATGTAGTTTGGCTAACAGTAATAATTTAATGAAGAAAACATTCACCTAAGTTGTACCTTATTTCTGTTTTATGGTTATAATTAAAACTATAAAAATTTTAGTAGACTGAAAGCAGGGCTTCTTCTACACCTCTGAAACAGCTGTAATGCCCTAAACGTTGGAAGAGAACACGCAGTTTAAGTTAGACCTACACTGACGAGGATGGGTTGAAATGGGATTCAGCAATGAACGTGGCTTGAATGCCATTAGGCTGCAGCTGTGGAACACTGATGCTTTGTAATATTTTTCTTAAGTGGGAGTTTGCCAGGAGTGGGATTGAACGTAGTATGTCTTACTGCAGTTTTGGGAGTTTTCTTCACAAGTTTGACCTATAATCATATGATCTATAGTTTCATAAAAATGAGAATATAGACATTATGGTTAAGTGCTCAAACATTTTTTTAACATACTTTTTTTTTTTGCTGCTGTGTATTGCTTTTTATTTAGGGTTTTTTACTTTGTTTTTGGTCAACTGGTGTATTAGTTATCTTGCTGAAAGAACCATCTGTGGGAGCCAGTGAACTCAGGTTTCATCTTAAGCTGATTTTAAGGTCTTGCCTAGCTCATAGTTACATTTAGTGATTAACTTTGTTCATTTGAATATTGGTATTATGACATCAGCCGGAATTAGTCCACATTCCTCTCACTTTTCGCTTTTCATAATCCCATTGCTCCCACTATTCTCTGTAAGTTTTAGATTCTTAACAGTAACAATTCTTCTGACTAGTTAATTTGTATATGAATGACACGTGGAATAATTTTGCCCATCAAACTTGCGTCCGAAAATGTTTTCGCAATTTTGATATTTGATGCTGTGATAACGATTGTGCCTTGGATCTAGTTTATACCCACCCTATTTGTCCTCACATACAGTCACATACGTGTTTCTTAGTACAGAAACACGCCTTCTGTTTCTAGGGGGCGTGTTTTGTTGTTTCAGACAGTTGTGCTGATTTCCATTTCCAGAACGGTCTGCAGGCATTATAAGTGGTGCTCGTCAAACAAGAAGAACGAGCAACAAGGTAGAAAGTAGAAACTAAAAGGATATTGGTTTCTACAAGCTCATGCACACTTAACTAAAAGCAAAACTGAATAATTGCTTCAAAATGTTGCATACACTTCAGAAAACTGATCAAAATAACTTAGGTACAACTTTGTAGTTTGTTATGATACAAATATACAGTAGCTTTGTACTTGTGTAGCGCTTCATCAAGTCCAGAGGACCCCAAAGTGCTTCAAACTGCAGTCATTCACCTATTCATGCACACTGTCACACGCTGATGGTGGCAAGCTACTGGATAGTAGCCACAGCTGCCCTGGGGTAGTCTAACAAAATCCAGGCTGCCATGCACCGGGCCCTGCGACCCCACCAGCAGCAAGGTGGGTGAAGTGTCTTTCCCAAGGGCACAACAACAGAAGCGGGTGAAACGGAGATCGCAAACCACCATCGGCATCGACTTTTTGCGTACACTCTTCTTCTGCTACCAAGTGTTACGCAGATTTTATCAGCAGTGACATCCACTGTTTTGAAGAACTGCAAACAACAAGAAAAAAAAAGCGCAACTGAATTCAAAAGGACTATTTTTACACCTAAATAAGTTGAGACATCAATGACAAAAAGCTTATGTTAATTGGGCAGTCATTCAGGCTGCTTGATATTAGAAAATCTTGTGGTAGTCATAGTGGTTAACATCACAATGGCATTTGCAATATATGCCTGTTTTCTCCTTTTCTCTCTTTCTCAACTGTGCTTCCATCACTCTGTGATCTTGAGCATTTTGGGGTATTTGTGTCCAGTTTTAGCATCTGCTGCTGTGAGACTGACCAACTGGCTAAATATTACAATAGCATAGAAAATGAAAAATATATTCTGCACTCTTTGTGGTCATAATGTAGTTGTAGTCAATGTGTGTACTGACAACAAAACGTAATGTCTGACATGGCTTGTGGTTGTTAAAACACCTCTAATGCAGAACATTTATTTTGCCTGCAAATATACATTGAAAAGGAATATTAAAAACCATTCACTGCAAGCTAGTAAACAGGGTTCTGTAAATAATTTGATCTTAAAATTAGGGTAAGCAATTTTGAATGCTTAACATTTTCAATAACCATTTTGTAAAGTAGGTTTGCTGTGATGTCTTTACATTAGTTGTTGATGTTTAACTCTGGCCTCTCCCTTAAAAGTCTCTGTTTTCTGTTTTATTAGCATGCCTCACTTCTCTCTCAGATTATCTGCTGCTTCGGTGCTGAAATAAATCCAAAGGGCACATGGGATAGGAATTTGCAGATACCTGTTTGTGGAAGCATTTAAGCCTGTCACCATTTATCACAGCTGCATTTTTAGTGTCCTCTTGAAATCTGTTTTAGCAGGGACAGGCCAGGACCTTGATGAGGAAAGCAGCCAGGCTCAGAGGGTGGAAAGAGTGTGATAGTCACTGTGAGGCCTCTAGTATCCAAGCCATGCATGAGGTTTAGACCAGTAAACAATTGATTGAGAATTTAGACAAACTATAAAAAATGTAATTAGAGATGGACCCATTTGAATACCATCAGCTAAACACACACTTTGTCTGCAGACCACCATCAGAGAAGTAGTCCAGGTAGAAAAAGGCGACAGTGGGGTGAGTGAGGTAAGCTAGATGTTGATAGAAACGTTGTAGCTGAATAGTCCGCAGGGTAATTGGATAAGCAGGTAAGTGGAGATGGGACATAGGTCGCTGAGATGATGAGGGTTCTGTCAGGGTGCATATTTTAAAGCCTGTGTGTGTATATGTGTCTGCATGTGTATTTGGGTCTGCAGAGGAAGAGCAATGTGATCCTTGTAGGATTCAGGGGCCCACACACAAGGTCTGAGAGAGATCTGGCTATGAAACTCAAGATGGTCAGTTGGGGAGTGAAAAAGGAAGGAGGGTTCAAAGTGTTTCTTAATTTGAAAAGCTTGTATTTTCTTTTTACTTTTGTTTAGTTTTTTGTTTTTTTCCCCCCAGTTACTGCCTTGTCATCCTTTATGTTGTCATCTAGGAATCTTTTCTTTAGGCTGGCTAAGGGAATTCATTCTCATCAAGATGAAACATGAATTTGCCCTCATTTCTTACATCTCTGCCTCAGGAGGCATGATGGCAAACTTCTGTTTTTTTTATTCTTTTGTTTTAGTGCCATTAGACGTTATTCCTGTTAGAAGTTTTTTTTTTTTACAATTAATGTAAAAATTAAAATACAAACTCACAGTGGATTTTGTAAGGAAGTAAATCAAGTACTGAATGCATACTTTTCATGCAGCTACATGTCTGTTTTTACTTGTTGATTTGAAAAAGGAAGATCCCTGAGGCTAAATAGAAGGGCTTTTTTCATGGTATTCTTTTTCTTGAGTTTAGACTAATACAAATGCATAAAACAACTGTAAGCAATGTTGATTTTAGAATTACAGAAGGTAAGTATTGCTTGATTCCATGTCTAAAATGAAAACTAGGACACTGCAAAATGAGAAAAGAGTAAAAATATCAAAGTAAGCATTTTATTAATTACTAACAGGTAAAACAAATCATCGAGAAGCTCAATCTTGAAGCATCATCGAGATCTTAAACCAAAGGACTGCTAAGCTAATGTGTCGTTGTGTTGCTTTTGTATTTTCTCTCCTCAGTGACCTGAGTATGAACAACATCACTGAGCTTCCAGCAAATGTATTTAAGAAGTTCCCCTACCTAGAAGAACTGTGAGTACATGCCCTTCTTTCTCGTGTTAAGGATGTATTTACTCTGTACAGTGTTGACATGAGCGCTGTTCTTTATGAAATGCACCTGGATATTTGAATTCACACTGCAGGACGCATGGTATCGCTGTAGAGCGTTCCCTCCTCAGGTGTGGAAAACAGGCATGAGGCAACAAATCACTCAACGTTCATGAACTGAGCCAGGGAGGTTATAAAGCATGTCATACAACTCAGCTAAAAAGGCGTTGCAAGATGACACGCATTGAAGCAACGGTCATGTGACATCCGATGTGGATTTTTGCTTTTAAGGGATTATGAGGGTAGAAACAAAAACATCTGTGCGCATGGACCTCGTTGAATGGGCATAAATCTGATCTTGGTGGATGTTTTTTCTTTGCTCTTTAAATACTTCAGTGTCTGGCTTAGTTCTGCTGTGAGTCAAAGATAAAAATCAGTCTGCCTGATATCAGGTAACATGCATCCCTCTGAAGACAAAATGACCAATGAATTAAAATTCTCCAGAGGTTCCTGCTTCACTTGGCCTTTGTTAAGATGTTTTTTCAGCTCTTGTGCATCTTTCAGCTGGCTGAAGCTTCACCCGCTTCTTTTTCTTACACCAATCCAATTTTCTTTGTTGAGAAGCAATTTAGTTTTCATCGCTTTGTGCAGAGGAATGCAAGGCAGGAAGCAAAGGGGCAAAACAATGGTTTCCAACGCAACAGGACTTAAAAACTTGCCTGATCTCTCTATGACAAATGTCTTGTCCTAACTCATCAAAACTGATGGTCTGTTTGATTGACATAAACCCTTAGTTAATTTATGTGTTTGAGGCACCTTTGTTTCTTTCAGAACATATCAGAAAACTTGCCTTTGTGAACTTTGGAGAAGAACTTTTTTGCTTCAGGTCTTCAGCATTGTTAATGAACCGGAGCATTGGCCCTGAGGGCAAAAACAGAGTGAGCTGACAGAGAAAGAGGGGGGGAAAACAGAGTGCAGGCCATCCTTAGTCAGGGAAGCAAGCAAGACAAAACTTCTTCCTCCTTCTTGGTCACGCAACCTCTTTTGCTGAATGCCTAGAAGATCAACAGACTTGATGACAGAGATATTGTCTGTCTCCTTTTGCAGTTTGTTTATCAATTATAACCTGTAATTGATAATCCTATCCATGTAGCAATCGCAACTTCATTTCACAAGTATGTGAAATGAAGTCTGAGCAGATGATACTGTGATATGCTTTGGCATAATTTATAAGCAGAAAATTGGACTGCTTATGATTCTGCAGTTTTAGTATTATTGTGATCTGACTTTATCACATTACAATTTAATAATGTTAATGTATTTTGTTGGGGTTTTATCTGATACCCCAAAACAAATTAGCACACAATCAAGGAGTTTAAGCAACAAGGGGCAAAGATTTAAAAAAAAATATTTTCTGGCATAATACAGATATCACCAATGTACTGTTGATATTTTATCACCAAGACAACAAGAAGAAATCCAGTTTGAAGCTAATCATTCAAGATATAAGGGACATAAGTAATATGTAGGAGCTCTAGTCAGGTGAGACCAAAACTGCTGCATGTAGTTTAACCCTGAACACACTTCCCACACACATGGTCTTGGCAGTATCATGCTGTTGCGATGATTCTTTTTAGAAGAGACGTTGAAGCTGGTGTGAGCTGATGGGAATATGGAGGGAACTAAATATAGAAAAAGTCTGTTTGAGCAGCTGAAAAATTAAAGTTGAGGCTGGTGTTCTTCCAGTACAATAACCTAAAGATACAGCCATAACTCTGATTGAACGGGTAAAAATGTCAGTGTCTGCAAGTGCAAAAGTATTTGAATTTAAAATATTGACTCCAGGGGCACATTAGAAATGCACACCATATTTCTTTTAAATTTTACTATGTAAAAACTTTCAAAACCATCTATTGGCTTTTCTTCTGCTTTACTATTATGCCACAAAGTAAAACTAAAGTAAATGTATCTTATAAGATGAAGATGTGGAAAAAGTTGAAAAGTTGTGAATATTTTTGCAAGTAGTAAAGAAACATTATGAACCATATGTACATTAATGTACATTAATGGTTCAACTAGGGCAGGTATACATCTGAATTGAGATTGAAGTCATACTGTTCACGTCATCATTTGTGTCACCTGTTTAACAGCGGTACAAAAACTGTCTTGAACATGTAGAAACACATCAAGAATTGTATGTGTGTGAGGTGGAGTTTGGTTTTTATGTATAAACTTTTTCTTTGAGACATCATTAAACTTTGTCATTTAATTTACAGTGTAAGGCAGAATTGTTGGAGTAGTGTTGCACAACTCGAAGCATGTGTCTCTTCTTCGTGACAGCTGTCAAAGCCCTGGAGCAATAGGTGATAAATCACCTGAAAGGTTAAAGTGGAGAAGCACTTTCGGTTGTGAAACCAGTAGCTAAACTGAAGCATTTGTCAAATCCTGTTTGTTCTTATTTGCAGTTACCAAATAAATCTTAGCTCATTTTACTGTCTTTTTGAAGATTATTATTTTGCTAAATTTGGGATTCAATCAAAGTTTTTCAATCAAAGTTATCTTCAAAACTGACATAGTCATATTTATACATTTTAACTTGGAGTAGCAGCCACTGTATTTTATTATTCTGGTGTTGGCAGTTGTTTGATTTGAATTTTATGATCTAAATTAATAGCCTCCCTGTAAGCATAAATTAATAGCAAATAATTATCAGGGGCTTTGGGTAACTAAGATGTCATTACTTCATGTTGGTTTTCAAAAACCTTGACTATTTTCAGAACAAATATCTCATATGCAAAATACATGAAGGATTAAATTACACTTCCACCTAAGTGTAATTTATTCTGAGTTAAGCCAGTGTCATAAGAGGCAGCCACTGGCCATTTTGCATGCCATTTTTATTTCACTTTATATTTGTTTTATTTTATGTTGGTGAATTTTATTGTATTTTATATTATTTTATTTAGCACCTACAAAGCAAGATGGCAAAACATCTCAAATGTTTATTGAAATAGAAGAACAAAAGCGAATATACAGTATGTTTTGAGTGAAATAATTGCATGCTACCTTGTTGTTTCAAATATATCTTGAAAGTAACTACAAACTAATTAATATAATAAAAAAATAAGACAGCTGAACTTTTCTATACTTAGTAGAAATGATCATTCTTTTCAACCCCAACTTGATTTGACTTGGGCTGCTGGAATAAAAATGGTAAAGGTTTCTGCTTCCCTGTGATACCAGTCACATTTTTGCTTTTTTCAAGCCCTTAGTTTTTATATAGCTTTTGTAATTCTAAAAAGATGCAGTCTCACAGTTTATTTGCCTGTGGTGCTAAACCAAAGTAAAAGGAAAAAAAAACCTCCCCATTTGAATATCCATGAATAGATAGGTAGCACTCTCAACAAACTCCAGGCCAGGGTTGAGTAATCTCTCACACCTACTGGTGCTCTAACATAGTCAGTTCTGGTTCTCAGCCTCACACATAGCAGCTCTTGTTGCTGGGAACTCGGCCTGGTCTGACTCATGTTGCATGGCGATAAATCTCCTGCTAATCTCTCAGGCAAGATAGTGTACTTGGGCTCCATGTCCCAGGCAGCTTGTCCCATGCTTATTTACACCCAGGTTTCCTATTTACTTCCTGTTCCCAGCAGGAAAGGGAGGTGTCCCCTCTCTTAAATAATTTTGACACGCACTGAAGCAGCTGTTTGATAATAACAGTTTCAGAGAAATATAGGTTGTGCAACCTTAAGAGGGATTAAAAAAAAAAGAATCCCTCTTCAAGGATTCATAATTTTTTTTCAACGTTTTTGTGAAAGGACCACTGATTTTTGAAGTTGCAGTTACTAAAAAAGGGGATCTAACGAAATAGTTCGAAATAGCTCAACACACTAATCTGTGTTGAGCGATAGAAGAAGTGATGACAGTCCATAACAAAGGTACATGTCTTTGTCACTTTGAGCTCCATAATCAGCTTGAGAGGTGGAACCTAAGCTGCCCAGGGCGTGTGGAGGTTTAAAGCTAAAGCAATAATTAATTTAAAATTCTGTTGTACTTTACAGTTTCAATACAAAGAGATAAAGTGTAGTGAATGTTTTTGAGTACTTTTGAAATGTGTACAGGCTTAATAATTAAATATAATTTTGACTCATTATCTCATCCAGACGACTTGCTGGGAATGACCTGACATTCATCCACCCTGACGCCCTGTCTGGTCTGCATCAGCTCAAAGTCCTGTAAGCATGCACTCTCCCTGCCAATGTACACAAACATCTGCATACAGACTTACAAATATGGCAATATAAAGTTTTCCGCACAATAGTGTAAATAGTGAAGTTTGGTATAACGTGCATTTTATTCATCTCGGCCCAACATTTCTTTGAGCCTGCACCAACAGAACAGTGAATGCAAGAACTGCTTTAATTTTATTGCTTCATCAGCCAGGTTGCATCAGACTAGTTGTACACACATCGTATGTCCTAAAAGATGCACAAAGGGCATTTCTGTTGATTTTACACCAAGTAAATAAGTCGTAGTCCAATTTTCTTCACCAGCTGAATTGGATTGCACCTGCCTGTGTTCATTGATTAAACTTTCATCCAAGTGTGTGAACTTCAGGTTCACACATTTAGATGTGTGGCAGGGCAGGTCTAATCTGTGTTGTTGTGTGAACTTTAAGTTTGCACTCTTAAAGTACATTATTCAAAATTTATAATAATAAAATATTGTTCTGACCTTGGCTGACATTTGAATTGTCGCTTTTTTTCCTTTTCAGGATGTTGCAAAATAATCAACTTAAATCTGTCCCCAATGCAGCATTGAAAAACCTTCACTCTCTCCAGTCTCTGTAAGTCTTCAGTATGAACACACACATATATGCACATATGTGTTTTCATAATTATTTATGGGTGTTTTCTTTTGCAAAACCTTTATATTTGGGTGGAGCTTCCTGTCCAACAGTAATACCACAAGTATACACAATACCACAAGAACCCAAGGCTATTCCAAAAGCAGAACTAAGGTTTTATATGCATCTTCATCATATGTGTTTATGCGTCTCTGCTGTCACAGTAAAAAAAAAAAAAAATTGGTACATGCTATATGAAAAGTTAAAGTCAAGTACAGAGCTCTCTAATCAGAGTGCATGTGCAGTTCACACCATCGAAATGAGCACTGCAGCAACTGATAAATATCTCTTTAATTCCCCAGCACTTCAGCTTTGCTTTGTATTCAGTGTTGATTATACAAATCTAATTCAAAACTCTGTCTGATTATCTGCTCACAGTCAAGATAACATGTTACAGACGTGTGTCATCACAATAATAAACATCTTACCTCCCAAATTCCAAAATGTTTGCACTGACCTTGTTAGGATTTTATTGTTAGTAGTCATTCCAACACGCTGACTTGCTATCTCCATGAATGACTGTTCTGTTCTGCAGTCTGCATTTATTTCACATACTGAATAATCACTAAGCCTTGGGGATTATTGGAGGAGGTGTTTTTTTTCTTTTGTTTTTTTACTTGAAATATCCAATTGAGTTGCAAATATCATAATTTGAGACTGTCTTGCTGGAGTGTTGAATTTTGGTTTTACAGTCTTGTATATAACTACTGCATCACAAAATGCCCTGATTTGTTATGAGAAGGTTTGATTATATGTGAAAACTTTCCTCTTATTAACAACAACATTTGTGTACTCTGACATTATTTTTGCTCATTTCAGTTTGGACTGATTTTTTTTATTTTAATTTTTTTGTAAGATTGTGAATTTCATTTTGTTTCTGTGTGTAAAATGTTATCGTTCAAAGCTTCCTCCCCCACTTGCCTTCATATTTGATACAATTTGAAGGTCTTAGCTTTGTATCTGTTGCCTCCCTCCACAATGTGCCTTTGAGGTTGACAGGACTTAGAGTAATGAGTTCAGCTGTCGAAATGTGCTGAAAATTCAGTTTTCACCCATCACTCTTGTTTTTTCCTCCCCCTGCACTTTACAGCTCCTTTATCCTTTAAATTTCCTTTTCGTGTCTATAACATATCTTTTTTTTCGTTCATAGTTTTAAGTTCTGTTGCTTCAGAAATATGCTATGCTAAAGTACAGACTTGGTTAGTAATAAGCCTTAGATAGCTAAATGTCAATCAAGATTGTTTTCCTTCCAGTGCAGATACTTGAGGAATTTTGAGGGAGGGTGAGACTCACATTCAGGGAAGATTCTAGGGCAAAACTGCTTGGTTCAAGTGAAAAGAATGCTCATAGAGGTTAAACAAAGACAACTTTATTTATTTTTTTAATCTCAAGGGGAATGTTTGTCCATCTGAAATCTCTGTCAAATGTAAGGATTCCACATCTCCTATCTTGTTTAAGTTTAATTTACATTTTGTGTTATTTTATGTTGAGATTCTGCAGTGGACATAATTTGGCTTTGATTATTAGAAGAAGTGGACAGGTCTACCTATAACTTAGATTGCATCATGACTTCTACTCTCCTTACATTTGACAGTGTTTGCTCATAAGCAGTGGAGGTACAGATTAATGCTTTCTAATGTTTTACAACTGTGGCTATTTTTGTAATACATTAACTGCAATCACAGCACTCTGGCAGTGTCCAAGTGTACAATCTAGAAGTGTTGTTTGGTATCGGTCATGTTTTTCCTGACAGTGACGCTGTTTGTTTAAAGCAGCAGCTTCAACAGAATATTTGCAACCATACAAACCACAGCTAAATAATAATTAAATACTTTCAAAGACATTTATATGACGCGCATATTAAACCTGCAGTTAGCCCTGTCGGCGCTGCGATTGTGGTCATTCTGATGAAAACATTTAAACATGAGCATTGTAAGCTTTATGGAATCGTTTTATGTTCATTTTAATTCAGCAAATTATATTTAGAAGCATCAAGGTTGTTGTTGTATTCTAAGCTTCTGTTCTCAAAGAAAATTGACAACAACATGTGCATCAGTGAGTCTTAGCACTTCAGAAATTGTAAAATGAAATCCTCCAATAAAAGATCTATATATTTATTTCATCATGTGGGAACGAAAGACATTGAAAATGTTTTAACATCTGTATAATTTCATATCCATGTGATTGATCCACTAATTCTTTTTCTGGATCTGTAGCCGCCTGGATGCCAACCACATTACAACTGTTCCTGACGACAGCTTCGAAGGTCTCCAACAGTTGCGGCACCTGTGGCTGGACGACAATCACCTGACAGAAGTCCCTGTCAGTTCCTTGAGACACCAGTCAAATCTTCAAGCTCTGACTCTGGCTCTCAATCGGATCTTGTATATACCAGACAACGCCTTCGGAAACCTGACTAGTCTAGTTGTGCTGTAAGTCTTACTAAGCTTCAGATTTGATTGTGGTTTAGAATATGGTTTTACTCTGCGGCGTTGAATGTTTACAATGTGATTCACTCGTTTCTTTGGAGAGTTCGCCATAGTGAAGGGTGTGTACAGAGCAGAGTAACCATCAGACCATGAAATGTAATTTGCTATTCACACTGGTATCTTCAGCATAAGTTGTTAAATATGTTCATTAGATCAATTACACTTTGGCTTTGTTTATCATTGATCAACCTCCAGTATAAATACAGGTCAGTATTCATAAAGTGATGCATTATTTTATGAACCTCAGTTAATAATAATTCTACTTACTTATACCCCCGGCAGAGGTAGATTTGGATTTTTATTCAACTAAGATGTTTATTTCTGATTGCAAACAAGACAGACTAAATTTCAAGAATAAATTTAGAGCCCACTTAACTGAACCCCATTGAAAACCTCATGGTTATTCCACCAAATATTGATTTCTGAACTCTTCCTGAGTTAAAACGTCAGCATTGTTTTTTCTAAATGGATATGAACTTGTTTTCTTTGCATTATTTGAGTTCTGAAGGCTCTGCGTCTTTTTCGTTAGTTTGACCATTTCTCGTTTTCTGCAAATAAATACAAAATTGTTGCTTGGACCTTTGGAGACATGTTGTCAGTAGTTAGATAGAATAAAAGAACAATGTTCATTTTACTCAAACATATTCCTATAAAAAGTAAAATCAGGGAAACTGATCATTTTAAGTGGTCTCAATTTTTTCCAGAGGTGTATATAATATTAAAGCTGCATGTCAAAAATGATTTGTTTCCTTATAAATAATAGCCAGTGGAAATGTGTTCTGGCAGTCAAAATCAGCTGACCAGCTTTTTCTTTTTCCCAATTTATCTTTGATGATAAACTCCCAAGTCTTTGGGGCCTTTTGACATCTATAGATTCCCCATCAGCAAATGGACCATTCCAAACTATTAACGTTACTCTGAGAGGTGGTACAAATATAACAGCAGAATTATCAGCAGCTCAAAATGGAGGGACCAGACTGGATGGACAGTTTTTAAGTGAGAATGCAGGATCTCACTCAAAGAAGTTTGGCAAACTCACATATGCCACAATTTGCCACCAAATTGGTTGTACTCTATACCCCCGATATTGGCATATTGTTCCTCACAAAGTTAACAAAAAAAGTTAAAGCTCATACATACCTGTGTTTTCATGCAGACACATTATAAAGTGAAATGTGGCATTGGGGTTTCAGTGTGGAAAAAGATTATAATGCCCAAACTGATATTGAATTAGGTTTATTGTGTTTCATAGATGGAGAGAAAAACAGCTCTGTCCACATTGGGAGCTTGCATTAGATTCTGTGATTTCACCAAAGTTGTTTTTGCTGTTCCACATTTGGACAAACTCAAACATTCAAGCACCCATGCACATTGAGTGGTGCATGGGTGAAGGTTTGTATAAACATACCAGAATAAACAGGAAGAAATGACCTGAATTTATTAGTGAGTTCAGCTCTGCTGTGTAGTACGAATAGAGTACAGACTCTTCATTTACTGACCCTGCTCCGCATAAAAAATGTGCTAAATGTTCAGTTTAGAAAGTCTTGTTGAATATCTCAGAGATGCAACTTATTTTGCTTTTCTAGGCATCTTCATAACAACCGAATTACCGAGATAGGAGCCAACTGTTTTGTTGGATTGGTGAACCTGGAGACGCTGTAAGTCCACAGTTACTCTGTATTTTGTTTATGTGTGTGTGCAGATGTATACTTGCATGCCTGCATGTGTTTATGTATCAGTTTGAGTCAGTTTGGGTTTTTGGACTCTTGTTTGTATGTGCCAACAGCTCCCCCACCCATCTCTGCTACAGTCCTCAGACATCATTGTGTCCACTTCCTCCTTTAATTGCTCTAGGATAAATAGAGCAAAGTACATGATGTTTATCTAAATTTCCCTCCCAACTGTTCACTTCCTCCTGGCCCACAGCCTTACCTAGTGACAAAGACATCAATCGTCTCTGAATGGTCAGCTGATAAATATGAAATTAAACTGTTGTTGCTTATTTCTTGAACATTGGAGATTTGAAGGCAATTTGCCATTTTAGAAATTGTCTAACATCCTAGTAAAATAAAATGACTGATATATTTTGTAGATGGTGATTATTTCACACTTTCACCAATTGTTTCATTATATTGGAAATATGTGTTATGTTACCGTCAGGCTGTGTATGAAATATAATGTATTGAATTAAACAAATTCCACCACGTAGATATTTTGTAGCTTTGTAAGATGATTCATACGTGACATTTCGGAGGCTGCCATTGGAAACATTTTAGATTTTTTTTAATACACTTTGACTGGAGATTTTTGAAAGAAAACTTCTATTTGTATTTATTTTCATAATCCAATAAAATACTTAACAAGACACATTATGGAATCAGTTTATGTAGAAATGTATTATTGAACAAAGGGGATGTGTTTATGAAAGCTATAGTTATGATCCCTGTTATGATAATTGAAGAAATTCATCTGAAACTGTTGAAATCTAATAGGTTGTTGCTTTCCCCACATTTCACTTAAGTTTGATTAAAATTGCCTTAAAGGCAATCCATAATTTTCACAGACACAAGCTAATTGTAGCAATCTCACACTGTGACTCAAATCTCTCTGTCTCTCTCTCTCTGTTTAGAGATCTTAATTTTAACAACTTGAAGGAGTTTCCAAAAGCAATAGAGACCTTGCCCAAACTGAAAGAACTGTAAGTATATACCAATTTAAGATAAGGGCTGTTAAAGCTATGAGTAATGCTTTTTGCTGTGTTGTATGTCTTAAAAAATACAAGTATTTGAGCTATAAATTTGAGATGATGAACATCTTAATGTGGTGAAAACAAGCAGGGTTTTCTGGTTTATGCTGAGTGTGAAAGTGGATCTTGTTCTCACAGTTTAATATGAGACAGACACTCTGTGAAAAGATCAAGTTCCTCCACCCTCTCTCGTGCTGCTATTGCCATCTGAAGAAATTCACTGCTGCAGGTCAAAAACAACCAATCAGAGCCACGAAGAATGTGTTAGTGCTGTCAGTCAAGCTTATGTATATGCTGCTAAATGTGCTAATGGCAAAGAAACAACTTGCCACTATAGTAAAACCAGTTATCCTCCATCACCAGTGGCAGTAATAACTAGCATTAGCATTCATGGCAGTCTATGTTGTGGTGAACCAGACGTAGCATACGAAAAAACAAGGGGGATCATGTGAGCAGTGTGCACACAAGCGTGATTGACAGCAGTAAGATCCTCCTTGCTCTGATTGGCTGTTGCTGACTGAGTGGTGTATTTCTGCAGTCATTACTGGGAGAATGTAGAAGAGCTTGATTTTATTTTCATATTATCTTATATTATGCACTCATGACATACTGATATTTTAACAAATATGTACAAAAATATACTTATAAAAGTTGCATACTGCAGCTTTAAGACTGGACTAAAGTTCTTATGAAGGTTGTATTTGCATGACCTCAAACAAACTGTTCCTGCTCGAAAACAATTCTGTAAAGAAGAGTAGGCCAAAAGTTTACCACTACAGCAATGTCGAATACCTGATTTAATAAACTCTTTGTTTTTTAGTTTAGGGAAAATTACTTGTTTACAGATTGCTTTCGATATATTTTCCACTTTATATTAAAGCCGTCATTTAAAAACTGCATTTTGTATTTGATTCATTATCGTTAGTAGTAAAATGAGTTTGAGATGCTTGACAACAAAACAAAATGAAAGATATCTGCAAGTGAGCAAGTGTTTCATTTATTATGTCAATATTTCAGACAACATTTTGATTCTTAATTTAACATAAGAAAATACACATTTAAACTTTCAGGCTGTTTGAAGGCTTTACTTTAAGTTCCTTTATGTAACAGTTGAAAAAACACTATTTTCATTTTTAAAATAATATTTTCTGGCTTCTTCTGTTCTGCTTCTTCTTAATTTGATGGAACTAACTATGCTCACTGCTTTATCATATTAGTTTTGTCTTTTCCGGTATATTGTTTTTTTCATTTTAACCTGACAGTGATGATAAGCATCTAATTGCTGTCCCTTGTTTGTTCTGCAGTGGGTTTCACAGCAATGATATTGCTGCCATTCCAGAAAGGGCATTTCATAACAACCCCATGCTGCGAACCATGTAAGGTCAAACTCACACAATGGAGCAGTCTACATGTGATTTTATCTTTAAAGGACACAAGTTTAAGGCACAGAACAAATGTCCAGAAGATGGTGCCATACTCATTGTGCTCTCCTCTCTTATTTTGATCTTATTTCAGACACTTTTATGACAACCCTCTGTCATTTGTGGGAGCTTCGGCTTTCCAAAATCTCTCTGACCTGCGCTCTCTGTAAGTTTGACTTTGAACCACGAGTTACTATCTGTGTGACCTCTTCAAGTTAGCTGTGATCAAAACATGTCCTAAGTTAATTATATTTGGTTTATAGCATTTATCTGTCATTCCCATCAACACATACCAGTGTTTGGACAAGAAACATTCCAGTATTAATGTCAAGAATTTTGCAGAATGTTGCGTGGTGCCAGTTTGATGAAGGACTTCCCCATCCTCACCTGGACTAACAATCTAGATAGTCTGTGAGTAATATAACATGTTATTCTTTGCTGCTTATTTGTGTTTCAGATGCAAGAAAATAGTGTGATTTTTGTTTGTTCGTTTCTTTCTTTTTATCTCTAGGACCCTCTCAGGTACCAAGATATCATCCATACCTGCTGATCTGTGTGAAGATCTCAAATTCCTTCAGACACTGTAAGAGACTCTTCCAGTTACAGTATTATGCGTTTCTTTAGAATTACGGCCACCAATTCAGTTTTAGTGTCTGAATTATTACAATTGCAAAAATCTGGGATATTCTAACTCAGGTGCTGGGTTAGAATATCCCATGAAACTTTTCCTAATAATAAATTTGACCTTTTGGATTGTCCTCGATTCAGATGATGGTGTTTAGCATTAGTTGCTGATTCTGACAGACTGGAGGTGACATTGTGATGATTGATTGTAATCAACATTGCCATTGTAATGTCAATAGTAGTATTGCAAGCACATGTTTTGCTGATATTGTGAAGCGCTTCTTTATAAATACCTCTCTCAGACTGACAGCAGGAGGTCCATTAATTTCTGAGTAGTTCTATTGTCAGTGTAAATCACATCATCCAGTCTGGCTTTCAGGGCTTCATCCTCTGATTTCCTCCTGGTCCTGTTCGCTTTAGCTTGATGCTTCAGGTTGTCTTAAATGCCGATGTTGATCTGGTCACAGAAGCACTGCTGAATAGTAAGGTGGCCTTATTTAATCAGATTTCACTAATTAAACACTATTTTTTATACTCTGTATCATCACAAGTTGAATGTTGCTACTATGACATTTTGGTTTATATCTGGTCAAAACGTATTTATGTTTAATAGAAAAGTTTGGGTTTAATTTTGTAGTGTGTTATTTTATACCTATCTAATGCGGTTGAGAGATTAAAAAGAACATTCAAGTGACAATAAAAATTGTGCCAGCACATCATCTAACAGCAGCATATTTTCTACATGACTTCTGTAAGGTCTTAAAAGTCATAGATTTTTTTTTAAGCCTTAAAGATTTGAAATACACCAATTTTTTCCATTCTCCTGTGATTTTTTTTATTTTTTATTTTTTAGAAATGCCCTTATGTTGTGATTTGTAGTTCTGGCTGAGGATTTTACGTGTAATCCTGTACCCGAACTACAAACTCCATGATGCAGGGAAGCCCTTGAAATTAATTTAATTCAGGACTTTCTACCTATATTTATCGCACTTGGGTTGTTTAGCAAGTGAAATATAAAAAAGAAAAATAAGCATATTGTTAAGTTTATCCCATAATTAATGCTGTAAAATTTTAGTCATGTTTTTCTGAAAAAGATAAAACCTAACTTACTAAAATTTGCAGAATCCTCGCTCTGAGTTATAAGCAGTTTATATAATTATTTTGTTGATGGTTTTCTTGTTATTGAGGTTTTTGGGTTTTTCTTTTAAACAGTGACCTCTCCTACAATGAGGTGAAGCAGTTACCATCCTTCCAGAGTTGCAGCCGGCTGCAGGAGATGTGAGTTGAATTTTTTTGTAAATATATCGTTAGTTGTTGCAATAAATGAGTCCTAAGGTAAACGTCAAAAATTCTTCTTGAAATCTGCAGAAGCTTCCAGCACAATCACATTCAACAAATTGACAGAGATACTTTTCAAGGTCTCTCAGCGCTCCGTTTGCTGTAAGTCCTTCAAGACATGGAATAACAAAACCTAAGTTCAAGAAAACAAACATTTCACTCACTGTTTTTGTGTTTTCTTGTAATGTGATAATTTATAGAGACCTGAGTAGAAACGAAATTCGAGTTATCCACAAAGATGCTTTCCTCAGTCTTACTGGACTCACCAATTTGTGAGTACAACCTTCTTACAAATCTGCATGGATTTGTCCATTTTGCTAATGTTTAATAAACATTAACTGGATTTATTCAAATGATTCTGCAGAGATCTGAGTATGAACTCCCTGTCTGTAATTCCGACAACTGGTCTGAGCGGCGTCATTCAGCTGAAACTTTCAGGAAACCCAAAGATGAAAAATGTCCTTCCTGCAAAAAGCCTGCCAAAACTCAGGTGAGAATGAACTCGTGTTTCCTTTTGGGCTTAAAGCATCCAGGAGAGAACTGACTGTGGAACTGTGACATTTCAGGTTAAATTTAATATAAAATAACACCTCAGCGTCTTTTGAGCATCTCACAGAGCTCTGCTCAATTTATCATCTTGGAATAAAAAGGCTATGGTATAACTTCAAATGTACAAAGATATGATTTGGCAGAGACAGCATTAATTCCTCAGCAGGGACAGAGAAGATGGTCTACGTTCATGGGAAGATGGATGCAACTAAAAAGAGGGCAATCAGAAAACCATTTGGAGGCTACAAAAGTTTTGATACATGGGCGAAGTCGTTCCTAAGACATACAACCGGAACTACTGTGGGATGACTTTGTTCAAAGCATGTTCATGTGTAACAATGGGCTAAACCTGTAATTACATTTCTTTTGATCTCCTCTGTGAGCTTGGATTAATATGATTTTCCCAAGAAAATAGTAAAATTTCAGTTTCTGAAAGCTGGTAGAGATGGACTTTGAGCTGTTGCTGCTTCAAAAGGTTGTTCACTAAATTACTGAATCAGGGAAAGAACCTTTCAGATTCCCATTTGTGTAAAAAATACTTTTTCCTCCTCATCATTATGCTCTACTTTGTGTTGGTAGAACACAAAACATGTTAATGTTTGTGCGTGTTGCATAGCAAAATGGAAAAAAGTTAAAGAGGTATTAACTGACTTCTGCAAGGTTTTGTATTTGATTTCTTGAAATATACTTTGAAACATAAAATGTTGCATTACTAGTCATTGAAAAGTGATAAAACCAAAGCACAAAAGGGAAAAGGCAGAAAATAACTGAATAACAAGTCTATAAATGGAAACATTAACATTTACTGAAAGGCAACCTTATCAGCCTGTGAGATGTGTTTTGTAATGATATCTGTGTTTTTCCAAGGTTAAGGATACAAGAGTTTTTTAGGACTTGGATAAATTGTATCACAAAAGGGCAAGCACTCCCAAGTAGTAATACAGACTGCACTGCATAAACTCACGCTGAGTGCTCTGTTGTTGTTTAGTTTAGCTGATACCCTGGAAACAAATGAGAAATTGCATGCTAAGAGACAGCAAAACAGAATCCAACACTGCGTGTTAACATTTAATGAGGAAGCCAGGCAAATCTGTTTTCTGCATATTTGTTGCTATCCTAGGAAAACATCCAAATATTTGGATGAAAACAATCAAAAAGCCCAAATATTTGCTGAGCCACACTCTTCCAATAATCTTTTTAGGAGTGTTTTTAACGATGATGTGCCGTTATCAACAGACTCTTAAAAACCTTATTTTAAATGATTGTTTGCAGGTCCATCTCTGTCTCTTACGCCTACCAATGCTGCGCGTTTATTGGATGCGACTCGGTGACGAGGTCTTCTGAGCAAACGGACATGAAGAAATCCACAGGTGGGAATGGAAATACAGAGCTGACGTGTTAACTTGTGCTGTCTCTCATAGAGGATGGATTCATGCGTTTTAGTTTAGCTAAATCTCTATGTAGAATTAACAACAAAGGGTTTAAAGCTGGATTTAGAAAATAAGACTCAGCAGTATTATTAAAAAAAATTTCTCAGGCTCAGTGTCAGAAGAACTATATTTAATGCAATATTTAATGACATACTGGACAAAATGAGGACATGAATAAACAGGTGTTAACTTAGTCATTATTAAGACACCAAAACACAGTGATGTTTATAATAAATTTATAAATTCAATGTGAACGGGTTTTAATCGATTTCTATCATTTTTCTTAGATGGTGTAAATATTACATTAGAAAAAATTTCAAAATAATATAAGTTAGTTTTTTGGATGGTAAATCAAACATCAGATAATTACTGTATGTAATTATTACAAGACAACTGTTTATAAATCTTAAAATAGAATGATCATGGTAATTTAGGTTTAAAGAAAAAATGTTTTAGTTATTGCAGCATCAGTTTAAAGTTAGAGCTGCACTGAATGTGGATTTAATTAGAAAATGTTCATTTTAAGTCATTAGAAACTTGAGGCTTCACTCTGAATTGGGGTTTGACTTGCACTTCGAAAACTTGATTTGTGTACATCTCTGCTGATTATACACATTCACATAGTCTGATCACTTGTTTTAATGTCTGCTTTTGTGCCATTGTAGGTATAGAAGATGGTGAGCAGGTCTCAATGTTAATGCACTGTTCACCTTCACCAGGTAAACAGTCGAGCGTTTCTAATCTTGTCTCTTTTCTTTGCTGAATAATTCTTAGATAGTCCTAAATCATCTTACTACATTTTCATTTCTAAACACTAAGCTGTTTCTGTATTCAGGAGCCTTCAAGCCTTGTGAGCACCTCTTAGGGAACTGGATGATTCGTCTGACAGTGTGGTTCATCTGCCTGGTGTCGCTGGTCTTCAACAGCCTGGTGCTGGTGACCACCTTCTCGCCTGCTCACCAAGCCGCTGGTTATTCCCACTACCTGACTCCATCTTTGTCACCAGCCAGGCTGCTAATGGGTTTGCTGGCCCTGGCCAATCTGCTCACTGGCCTGTATGTCGGCATTCTGACCGTGCTCGATGCGGCAACGTGGGGATCCTTCGCCGAGTTCGGCGCGTGGTGGGAGATGGGTCCCGGCTGTCAGATCACCGGAGCTCTTGCTGTGTTCTCTTCGGAGTGGTCGGTGCTGCTGCTGGCGCTGGCCGCCGTGGAGCGCAGCATGGCGGTTCGGATGATCCTAGGAAAAGTGCTGATGTCGCCCAGGAGGAATGGCAGCAGCCATCGCAGGTGTTTTAGAGGCTACCAATGCTTTGGCCTGGCTGCGGGGCTGCTGGGGCTGCTGGCGGCGGCCGGAGCATGTCTGCCTCTTCTGACCTTCAGTGACCAGTCATCTTCTCCTCTCTGCCTGCCGTTCGCTGGTGGTGAGAGTCCGGCTCTCAGTGTCACCGTCACTCTGGTCCTGCTCAACGCCCTGGCTTATCTCTTCACGGCTGCAGTTTACACCCAGCTCTACTGCCACCTCGGCAGGGTGGAGCTGGCGGACCCAGAGCAGACCGGCGCCCTCCGTCATGTCGCCTGGCTCATCTTCACCAACTGCATTTTCTTCTGTCCCGTCGCAGCTTTTTCCTTCGCCCCTCTCCTGACCGGCTCTACAGCTGGTGGCCCGGAAATTGCCAAGTCCGTCACCCTCATTTTCTTCCCCCTCCCCGCGTGCCTGAACCCGGTGTTGTATGTGTTTTTCAGCCCAGCTTTCAGAGAGGACTGGTTAAGGCTGCGCGGTCACATGGGTTTGACACAAGAGGCGAAGGCCGGCACTGAAAGTGGCTGCGACGATGGCGGTGGAGGGTCTGAGCTCACAGACGAGGGATCCTTCTCCCACCTGGGCTTTGACTGTGGTGTGTACTCTCAGCTTTGTGGAGAGACTGTGTGCGAACAGTGCGAGGCAGTCCTGCGTGCCCGGACCTGCTCTTCCCCCTCAGCCTCCTCGGTCTGCAGACATTTTGTGAAGTCTCACAGCTGTCCCACCCTTCTGGCTGGAGCCGCGATATGCCAGCGCTCCGAGGGGTTCTGGGCAGACAGCGGCACGCCTTCCGCTCAGTCCGAATACGCTGACGAGGGGGACTCTTTTGTTTCAGACAGTTCAGACCAGGTTCAAGCCTGCGGCAGAGCCTGCTTCTGCCAAAGCAGAGGACTTCCTCTTGTACACTACTCATACAACATACCTCGAGTCAAAGACTAAGGATGCCTCAGTGCTCCAGTACGTCAGTGTGCACAGATATGTCCGTCATGTGAATTTAGATTCGTCATGATTATGTAATTTTATATATAAATATATATGTCAGATACATATATATGTCAGAACAGAAAATGTGCCAACTACCTTTGCAATTCATCAAGCACTTATGTTTCTAATTACTGTTAGCAAAGATGCAACCAATCATTGAAAGGGAATTTCCAGCTGAGAGATCATTTCTAGATTAAATGAACTGAGTACTTCGTGTTACAAACTGCTCAACTAAACAAAATCTGACCACCGGTGCCTGCCTGCCTCTTGCGATCAACTGACATGACGATGACAACGACGCAAGCTAAAGGGGGTCAAAGATGTAATGATTTTTTTTTTTTATGTGTTCTGTACTGATAAGCTTTGTTAATGTATCGTGCATCAAATTTTAACATGTTTCCACAGCAAGTTTATTTTTTTTAATTTGATGATTTTATATATAAATGTAGCAAATGTAATAATCATTGTTAGATTTTTTTAAGGGTTTTCTTGTGTGTATGTGTGAATGTTTAAGGTGATCCAGGGTTCCGACACGTTTTCCAGGTCAAGATGAGATTGGAGAAATAAAATAAGAAAAGTAATTGTGTTTTCAGACTTCTCTTTCCCATTTTCTAAACATTGCGCTCTTTCTTATATCCTTCCCACTTTGTGTCCATCTTTTCTTCCTTGTGTCATTTCCTTCCCTATACACTTATGTCCTTCAGTCTCTGTCTTTACTTTTTATTTCCTGTCTGTCCTCCTTATTTTCTTGTTTTCTTCTTCCTCATATTGTCTTTTACCCCCCTTCTTTTCTTCCTTATGTCCTTCCTTTATTGTCACCTTATGACCTTCTCCTTTCCTCCTTTGTCTCTTTTTTCCTCCGTTTCCCTTTTTTTTCAGTGAACTTCAATATTACATATGAAAGAACGCTGGAAAGTCGAGTCATGAAAAGTATGAAACTCTAAAACGGTGGGTGTGTTGGAACCCTGGTGACGTTCACCTTGTGAGGGTTGAATGATTTAGCATCGATAACTACTAGCCAATGAGCACGTGATTGTCACACACCGGCGCAGGAATGGTGGAGGTCAGTCTGTAAGAAAAAAAAAAAAAGTATTTTGCTTTAACCTCCTCATACTAAGAATGTGATAAAAGTAGCAGATATCACTGTTTCAACAACTGTGTGTGATCGCTTTGACACGTGTTATTTATTGTTTAAGCAGACAGTAGTGTTTGGGTAGAGGCGGATTTGTGGCAGCCTCTTTATAATCCAAGTATTCACCAAAACAGCGCCTCTCTTTTTATTCCTTTCTTTCATTAGGTCAAATTAGGAAAATCTCACCTTCTTTAAGCCTTTGAACTTTTTCCCCTGGTTTTGTCATCCTTTCTTTTTTTTGTTTTGTGTTTCCAGACGATGTAATGAATAGTGTTGCTTTGACTGTATCTTCTATCTATTTTGAACCTCGTTAAATAATCCTTGCCAGTTGTGGTACAATTCAGTTTAATTAAGTCTCCATTCAACTTAAACTCACGAATGAGTTTAACTTTCTGTGCTGGTTAACGACTGGCAACTAGCTAATTCAACGAGAAGGTATGGAAAACTACTCCACATAAAACAGAATGAACCTACATATATCCACATTTTTTGTGGCTTGAAATGTATACATTATGGTAAAAAAATGGTAAAATATGGTATGAGATGACATATTTATTCTCCTGTCAAGTTCCATTATCGGTGATTTCTTACTGTATCCTTAATTAGTTTTTTATGTATGTGACAAAAAGAGCATTATTGTATTACAAAGTGAATAAATGTAGATGTCTTTTCATCCTGACCTGGTTGAGCCCGGGCGTGACAGAGTCTGACGGATGTTTAGTGTGCTCAAGCATGACTGCACGCATTGAGGTGGTTACACCCTCGGAGCATGTATCCACAAGCGCACGCCATGTGAGTGCTCAGGAATTCAGGCAATGTAGGGAACTGCTCTCCTCCAGCACCGAGACGTTCTCATGTCTTCTTTCGGCTCCAGTCTGTGTTGAATTTGATTATTAAAGTCACATCAAGACACGACGCATCGATTCTCGCATCAACCAAAATGTCTGGTTTGGTTTTGCCATCTGATCTCCTGTCTACTGAAAATGTACGAATTTTTCAGTGGTTTATTTTATATATATATATATTTTTAATGTAAATTATTTGAAAAGGAAACTCAAGAATGGGATGCTTGCTAAGGAAGCTACCTCTTCGGTTGTTGAGGCTGCCAGCAGTGCTTTGTAAAAGAGAGTCTGTTTTTATTTTTCACTGTTTGCATCCTCAGCTTTATGATGTTAACCTTGGCTGTGCATCATTTTAGTAATGTACAAGTTGTGGGAGGAATCTATGTACTGTATACTGTGATTTATTTTTATTTTTTCCTGTTTCTTAACCAAATCCTAAATGACTTCTTTTTTTTTCTCTCATAAATACAAAATTACAAAATACATATTAGCTGAAATATTTTACATTATTTCTGTTTAATTTGAATCTTACTTGCAGTTTTGTGTCAAATCTCCCTGTGTCTTTTTTCTTTTCAAATAGGTAAATGAATTCTTTAAATTGTGAATGAATAAAATTGGAAAAAACAAAACATGAATCTTCTTTTATGCTCATTCAGCTTTACATATTTAAATTTGAAGTGTACTCGTTATCTTTTATCACACTATTGTGTGGAATTGAACTGTTAATTATAGCACATGACCAGGCTAATATATCTTTTCCTTGCATTCCTGGGAGTAAGTTTTACTTTAGAAATTCGGTTTCTAAAGTAAAACTAAAATAATAATAATAATTCTCAAACTGCAGACTCTTAACTTTAGTTACATAAAACAGTAATGCAAGAAAACAAGATATTTAAAAAAAATATATGAGAAATGTTAAACTCTTTTTAAAAAAAATCACATTTTTCTCAATTTCTGTAATGTCAGCAGTACTGAGATCAGCCGGATGAGAGAATCACACCGGTTATCCTTTGACATTGGAAAAAAGCTTTATGTTTTCCATATCTGCAAATATATCTGCATCTTTACTGACTTGCTGTTTTCATGGTCAATCAAAAGATAACTGATTAAAGTAGGTAAATATCTCTTTATATGAATCACACAAGGTGCTTGTTTTCCGGAGATTGAATCCCAATTCTCACCATCAGCACAAGAAGGGTGGCTTCAGGAGCTGCAGTTCCCCCTTGTGGTGGCTGAAAGAGGAATCCATGTTGCTCGACAGGGGAGTAGAAAAGTTCAAAAGTTTTACGCTAACCTTTTGGCTTTGATTTTAAAAAGTCAATCAAATTTAGATCTCAAGGGTTGCATTTTAGATATTTCAGTGACAGCAAAATTAAAACAAATTAAAACATTAGCCTGGTCATTAAAACTCTAGAGAGATAAAGATTTGTACACTGTTATAAAGAGATTATAATAAAGCCTGTTTGCTGTAGCATTGTTGGAGAGCTAAATATCCACTTGTTTCAGCTCGCATACAAGCTAGTGTTGGTACTGCAGCACAGCTAGCAGATACAGGAAACTACAACAGTAACAGACAGACAATGATACTATGCAAAAAAGGAAAAAGTCACATTCTGGCAACTTTTGAGGCAACAGTATTGAAGTGAGCATGTTGTTTTTAATATTGACAATATTAAATATTATCGTATTTTCTGGACTATAGAACGCACCTTAAGCTGCATCTACAAAGGTTTTTTTTTTCTTAATGGAAATGTACATATCTAAGCCGCACCGGGATATGAGCCACATGGTTCAAAGTGTGGGAAAAAAGTAGCGGCTTATAGCCAAAAAAAAAAGGTAAATTATTTAATATTAAATATTAATATTGCTTTAGTATTTTATTCTCCTGAATAATATGGCTTCTGTGTTGTTTAGGCCTATATATTAAATTTGTTGGTTTATTGTTATTTTTTAGGCATAATTCTATTTTGGGTAAAAACAAAAAACTTGCATGTATAGAAATAAAAAGTAAATATGTATGCAAAAGAAGTCAGACTTGGAATAAATGAATGCTTTGGCTGCAGAGACCTAGCAGAGAACTGAAACATTTTTTTACAGTACTAAGCTATTACCTTCTAAAAAATCGTGTTCAGTCACATTGAAACTTTTGGATTACCAGCTTTATGTCTTGCGTCTGTAAGAATCTGAAAAAAAAGCATCGTAATGAGAACATTCCTGCTTGCATGGTGTCAGTACTGCTGTTTCTGGCTATGGTTCAAACATTTACGTGGTTTCGTCCGGCGCGGTCATGCTGTCCTGCCATTGCTGCCATCATGCTCTGTCTCCATCATGAGTCGAAACGCAATGTTTGGAACCAGTTTGATAAATCGAGCTTTGCTCTGAACCCTGCTGTCCTTTGCGCATATAATTTGTAAGACCTAGTTAAATATCGAAGCACCTGACAGACACAGAGGCGCTGTCGGCCCTTTATGTGGCCAGAGAGACGTGTGGAAAGTTCAGTGGATCTTTTGCAGCTGTACATCAAGGCAGGGAATATTTACACTCACAGCATCAGAGGAATAACTTGCCCCAGCTTGTAAAAGCCAAAAGACAGCATGTGTTTCATTTTGCTGACAAATGTTTTCATTGGGAGACATCCCAGATCATTCTTTCCATCACACACATCCTGCTTTGCACCGTAAGGAGGACATCTCACACGTTCACTGATGATTTCCAAGTGCCCAAAATTCCTCTATGCAAGGTGAATCGTTCAATCACAACTAAGTAAACCAGCAGTCAAGTTTTTATTTTTATTTTTATGGTTTTATCTACACACTGATCCAGACATCATCGTCCAACAACTTGATATTTATTATCAGTCAAATATACTTTTTAAACACAGAAATCACAATCCTTGTTGGCTGAGAAGAGCAACAGCTACTCTGATAAAACTATGACTTACTTTCAAAATAACACATTAGTGTGCCAGTTCTGTCAGTGAAAGAAACCCAAAATGTCGGCGGATGAAAAAAGACAAGGATATTATTGATTAAGCCTTTTTAGGGATGTAACTTAAGCATCTTGTGGTTCTGAGCCATCATCCTGCTGGAGATCGATTCATCGCCTCTTCATTCAAAGATAAAACTCTCATTCACTGGCCGCTTTCTTTTCTTCTTTAGCAATCTGAGCTGCAAATCAGAAATAAATATGCATTAACTCATTAAAATATATTAGCATTGTATGAGATTACAAAGAAAACTGCAAAACTGAACAGTCAGATTGTTCCTTTGCCCCTTTGTGTTAAAAAAAGAATAGAAATGTATAGATTAAACCTGCATTGTTATTTTTGGTGATTTGGAATAAAATTGATTAATTCTAATCAACTGGTATATTTAATACCGTAGATTGGAGGATATTCAGCTTTTCTCTACAGATAAATGTCAGTTAAAAATGACTATAAATATTTTATTTTGTGGAGAAAGTTACCAAAATACTATTACTCTGTACCAAAATACTATTACTCTGTAAAAAACAAAACGGGTTACCATTGCATCGTGCCACTTACGTCGGACCTCCAGTTTGCACTCCACCACATCCTCGCCCTTGTCGTTGACAGCTTTGCACATGTAGACGCCGCCGTCGAAGGGACACGGCTTACGGATCTCCAGGGTCAGAATACCTTGCTTGGACAGCATGCGATACTTGGCTTCATTGGAGATGTCCATTTTGTTTTTGTACCAGGTCACTTTGGGCTAATGAGGTGGAACAAAACGTAACAGTCATGTGATATTTTTGCACTTTTATTTCACAATATTATTTAACAATTACTGTTAAATAATGTTACAATGAGCCGCCACTGGTTCAATCCAGCTACAGGTTATGCTTGGATGTAAATTTGCTTTAAATAAAGTGATCGTAATTTGTTAATCTATTCTTAATTCTCTTTGTTGAGATATATCTTTCTGTTGCCAAGTTTAAATTGCTTTGAATAAAACAGTACACATTGAATCTGATGGTCTCATAAAGCACCCAGAGGTTACTTCTGCTGTGTCCTGAATCTCAAGCAATAACTTAAATTAAATTTCCAACATCCTATTTTGTCAAATGCAGAACCTGAGGTTTTGGGAACTAATTTGAAGACGCATACCTTTGGTATTCCTCGCACAGCACAGCTGAGGGTGGCGTTGTATCCTGCTATTATCGAGCGGTTCACTAAAGGATGTGTGAACTTGGGAGCCTCTGAGAAGTCATGCTCCCTGTATGTGGGAGATTTGTAGTCAATCCCTGCCGAAACATACAAAGATTAGGTAACTTTTTTCTTCTGTGGCATTCCTCTTGTACTTTCGATCATTTTCCCTGAGTTGTAAGACGGAGCCGACCTGATTTCTGGATGAAGACGCTGTCCTTGGTGGTGAGTGGCTCCTGGCTGAGGCCCACCAGGTTGATGGAAAACACTCGGAAGATGTACTCATTCCCCATGATGAGGTCGGACACCACGCAGTGTGTTCGTCTGTAGTGCTCATGGACTGTAAACCACTCCTTCATGTGAATCACATAAAATGCTTAAATGAGGTTTGATAAAACTAAATAAGTCCAAAACATCACTTCTTATCTGTCTGTCCTACTACTGACAAAAGTAAGAGAAATCGGGAAAAGACAGAAATATATCTTAACCCTAATGAAAAATATGGGAAAAACTTCCTCTTGTCTTCATATTGTAGCAGAAACTGGAGACGTTTTGGTGCAGGCTATTTCTTAGATGCAGGATCGAAACTGGATATGAGGCGACCGTAAAGCACATTTGACCTCAGTGCTTTTCTCTGACATGAACCAGGTAGACTTATTGGTAACACGATGACCACCACCCACGTAAAAGCTCATTGTGTTGCAAGTAAAATTAATTTGATCTAATAATGACTGCAGTGAAACACGAGCTGACCGCCATGCTGGCTGGCAAACAATGCCTCTGCGTCACTGCGCAGACTATCCAGACCGGGTCAAGGCTGATAAGATTAGGACATTCCTGGGTAACATTGTTCTCGGCAGCTTGAGGCGGAGGACGGTGGCAAAAGGAGATCTTTGCCAACTGGTTCATCATTACACCCTGTTCCAAATTATTATGCAAGTGATATTTTAGATTTTCTTAAATGGTCAATGCAAATGATGGTCGGAATAATTTTCAAGTCATTAACTATTACAGTATAAATCAAATTTTACTGAACAAGTGTCAGTCTATTCTTTCTTTTTTTCAGGGGACTGTTGCCACTTCAGTCTTTTTTTAGTTTTTTTTTTCTAATAAAAATATACAAATACTTCTGAATACTTGTTAGTTTTGTTTGTGTTACGTGTCTTAATAGCATGACCATTTCCTTTTAGTGTTTGTTTCCCTACTATTGAGAGTATTTGTCACAATTACATGTGAGCAAGATTTTAAACATCCAAAATTATTGTACATTTTATCATATTAATAAACAGGTGGCGATGCGAGACCAGTGACATCCTTTATGACAAACAAACAAACAAACAAACAAATAAATAAATAAATGACATTTTTGTTCATTCATTTGACAACAAAATAAATTTGTGGTATAAATAACAGGGAAACATTATGTGAGTAACCAATACACAAAAATGATGTACTAAGCTTTATGCTTTG